TTTCTTGCAAACGTTTCATTACCCAACTAGGTAACATCTTCAATGCACCTAGCCGGGTAATGAAACGTTTGCAAGAAAACAACCAAGCTCAGAGAACCCCAAGGACTCCACATAATTGGAGTGAGGCTGTCCCACATGTAACAAGGAGCTGTGCCATGCAGGGCCTTATAGGAGATAGTCAGCACCTTGAATTGCACCCAGAAGCTTATAGGGAACCAATGCAGCTTGGTAAGCAATGGCATTACATGGATGCACCATATTCTGCTGCATATTTGTGTTCTGTGAGCCATAGCATGTGTCTATGTGTATTGAAATGGTGAGTAGGGATGGGGAACCTACAGCAATACGTGACTGCACAATTTTTACAAAATGTTTTTTAAAAAATAAGGTATCAAAAATCCAATTCTAGCTATCAACACCAAACTTTTAGGAGCTCAGGTGGTTCTGCAGCTCATGTTATTATCTAATCTTTCATTTCCTAAGGACCAACTGGCTCCTAAGGGGCTAATCATGTACCAAAATAATTTTATTAACCAAAGTGTGTCATACGCAGTATGTATGCATCTAGCACTGCACTAAATAAAGTGATGTGACTTGAATAGATACGAAGACAAAGTTCCTAAAGAAGTATTGTTCAATGATCAGACTGCAGACAGAACCAGAAAACTATTTGGAGTTCCGTGGGAGATATCTTTGGTTTGAATATTTGGGAAGTCTGGTGCTGAATCAAAATTTACACGATCCTTGGTGCCTCTGGTATCTGCCATATGTATAGTTCTGTACAAATAGTAGTTAGCATCCAGGAATTGGGTAAACTGAACTGGGGGAGAGATTCATTTTTCTTGAGACAGCTAGAAGCTTACAGAAAATTAACTCAGAACTTTTCAAAGAAGTTAACATTGAACAAAAAAGTATCTTAGCATAATTTCATTTATTTTTATTTATTATGGAATGTATACTCTGCCTTTCTGTTTATGCAAATACTTCAGACTGTTGAATATTTTAAAAATACAAAAAATAAAATTAAAAATTAAAAGCTTGGCAGAAGAAAGACATTTTTGCCATTTCTCTAAATATTAAGAGAATCAGGGGCCAAACACTCCTCCCAGACTCACTCTATGGTCTGGGAACCTCACATGATAGGCACTCACCAGGTGGTAGTAAAGGGCAAGAGTCTGAGCACTTTCATGAGTACTATTCTCTCTGTGTATAACGGGCAGGAAAGCAGAGTTACAGAGGGAGAGTGAGCAAGCTGCTGTTCTGCCTTTCAGAGGTTTGTGGTCTTCTCAGCTACCCTTAGCTGCTTCCTCTCAATCCTGTTCCCCTTTTTCTGTGGCCTGATGTTCCACCTCCGTGACTTTGCTGGATAGCCCAAGGCTGTGTGTTCCTTTGCTGCATTCACCTGCCTCAGTCACAAGGATGCCGGACCTGATCTCTGTCCAAGACTTCATCTCCCAAACCCACGAAGATCTGAGCTCTCCAACAACCTCCTCCTTTACTAGCCACATGGGCAAATGCAGGAACACCGTCTGCAGCTTAGAGGAGGTAAGGGAGGAGCAGGGAAGGAGGCATTAAGCCAAACACATCTAGGTTGAATCAGTTGCTGACGAATTTCTTGCTTTCTTTCGGGGAAACAAATGCCAGGAAATTTCACCTCATCCTATTAGCATGGAGAGGAACAAATTATTATTCTTGTTTGTAAAAGGATTTGTACCTCACTCTTCTTTCAAAAGAGGAAACGCAAAGCAATTTACATAATAAAAATGCAGTTGATAATGAAAAATTAAGTTCTGAAAAACCGAAAAATCTAATATTAAGATTCTATTTAAAAAATATGAATGTCTATGTATGCATCCAGATGCCCACATATGTTGACAATTCATTTAAAATTTCCCTACCAACCTGACAAAAGGGTTATGATGCATAAAGATTGTCCATAATAATTGTGTTAGTCCCTAAAGTGCCACAGCACTGTAGGAGTCCAGCACAGCTACCCCTCTTAAGAGCTTAAGAGACAGACCATAGCAGGACAGACTTTACAGCTGTAAGATGTTTCTCTGTGCCTTAACAGGTTTCATCTCACTGGTGAAGATACCACGAAGCAGGGTCTTTTCTATGAGTGCAGAGTTCCCATGGGCGCAACCTGAGAGAGGGTGATATGTCTCTTTGGCATTGTGAACTGAGGGTGTAACTTGTTTCTTGAGTTACTCTCATCCAAGTGCAGTCAGCACTTCAGCAACTCTTGATATACAATTTATCAGGGCGGATTAAGGTTACAATCTTCTCATAATATTACTTGGGAATAAGTTACACAAAAATAAATGAGGCTTCATTCCGAGAAAGCACCCAATACTGACATTGTGCATTATCAATATTTTTAAAAGAGTTAGGGTTAGGAAGCGTTTTTATACAGCTATGGAAGATATCATTTAAATATTTGTTGACTATAACTTTAAAAACCATTTCTGCCCCTCTTACTTTTTCATTTCCTCTTTTAAAATGTGTTGCACATTTTCATTTTGGTTTCCCAATACCCATCCTCATTGTGAAGAAAGTTCCAGAAATGGAGGGCTGATTAAGCTTTGTATAAGAGCGAGCAGATCCTGAAAGGTATCAAAAGTCCCTTAAGAGTTAGGACAGGATGTGACACTAAATTTAAAGTTAGTAGCAGGAAACCATTCAAGAATATTAATAGTTTGGAGTGAGAGAGAAAAAACAACAACAAACTTGAAATGGACAGGAAATGGAAATGTTGGTGAAATTCACATTATATGACCAAAGCTTTACCTTCATTATTAGTGCTTCTAATTAGCATACTGACATTATTTCATCTGGCATTATCTTACTAGTGTGTGAAATAAGTGCAACTGAGTAATAGTTTGAGCATTCTTTAACACTGTTAATTTTTGATTCTGGAAAATAAATTGATATTTTTCCAATCCTTTGGCCACTGCTGTGTCTTCCACACCTGCACGTAGAACTTTAATTTCATCATCTTGTCAGATTTTAAATAATTCTGCTAGTATTTCATCAACTCCTGCTGTTATTAGTAATATTTTGTAGGGCCCAGTTAGCATTATTTTCCAGAATGTCTGATTGTAGCTCTGTGATCAAATCTTTTTATGTATTTATGTTCTTATGCTTTTGTGATCTCTTTTGTTCAGTTTTTCTCTATAATTGTGCCATCTCTTTATATCTCCTTTCTATGGTATGTGTTTGCCTTCTTTGCTTTCTGTAATTTTCTTACATCTTTTTTAAAAAAACTGTTTTTTGTCCCGTTTTGTTGTTGTCCTTAATTTCTTTCATTGGTTATTTAGATAGAACTCTTGGTCACTCCCTGTTTTTATCTGGAATTCAGTGTTTTCCTGTCTCTGTTGCCTTTCAGCAGACCAGCAGACAGCCATTTTGTCTTCTTTTACTTTTTTGTGTTTCAGAATATTTTTGTTTGCTTCATCTTTAATTATGTTTCAATTTTCAGTCTGGAGTTCTGAGAGGCACTCTGTCAAATCAATTCTATTAAAGATATTTTTCACCTTTGCCACATAATCATATGGAATATTGCTGAGGTTTTCTCTTGGTCTGAATATTTTATTTTCTTTAATTTAAGGTTTAATTTTGCAAGGAGTATGTAATCTGAGTCACAAGAAGCAGTAGGTCTTATTTTTGCTAACTGAATAGAACTTCTTCATTTTTGGCTGTAGATCATATAGTCGATTTGATTTCAGTACTCTCCATCTGACCAATAGAAAAATGGAAAAAATATTGTCTAGTTAGTTAGTTCATACCTTCTGAACTTCCAACTGTACAGAGACGGCCCTCTCTATCTTCATTCCACACAAAAAGGGCAATAAAATAAATTGCTAGCAATCCTCACCCATGATTTCCAGTATATGTATTTGAGTGCATTTATTTGATGATCTGCAAAAATCTGGACAATTATTATTTGTTTATTTAAATTTTGGATAGCTGCCCATCTTAAAACCAACTCTGGCTGGCTTACAGCCAATAAAACAATAAATGCAATCATAAAACTAAAAACAATAAAACTAAAAAACAGAAAAACCCGGCACCACCACCACACTTCTCTGATGTCATCCACATTCTCATCTCATTTCATCCTGACCTCACCCTATCCCAATGCTGGGAACAGCCAGGTCTTGAGTGGCCTCCAGAAGGATAAAAGGATAGGGGCCAGTCGGATCTCAGGGGGAGGGTGTACCATAGGGCAGGGGCTGCAACAGAAAAGGCATGCTTCCCAGGACCCACAAGATGACAATGTTTAAGAAAAGGGACCTGCAGCATGCCTACCCTATCTGCTGCAGGAGAGGCAGTCCTGCAGATAACCTGGTCCCATGCTATGTAGGACTTCAAAGGTACTAGCACCTTGAAGAAAACTGGGAGCCAGTATAGCTCATGGAACAGGGGTGTAATATGGAGAACCTAGTGGCACCCAACACTGTGCATGCCACTGCGTTCTGGACCAGTTATAACTTCTGGGTGGTCTTCAAGGGCAGCCCCATGTAAAGTGCATTGCAGTAATCCAACAGGTTACTTAGGTATGAAGGTAACTGTGTAAAGTTGATTGTAACAAATGTAAACAAAAGCACTGAGATGGTCCAAAAACTTTCCAGTTATCTTGCCATCTTTGCTGTCTTAAAAGCCTCTATGAACAAAGGTGTTGGGGGGGGGGGATTATGACATATGCATTATGATGTCATCATGCAAATGTCGCCACTTATAAAGTTATGTCAGATATCATGATGCTAGGATATAACCACAGCCTTTGTGTGATGAGATCAGTCCATGCCTGTTGTCATTTTAATGTCATTATGGTTTGCTATAAAAGCTGCTGCCTGTGAATTGTGAAGCTAAAGTAACAGTATGTTGGCAACTTTGCAATCACATACTTTCCCCAATTGCTGTGACCGTGGTTGTGGGTGGAAAAGAACATATGTTTAGTCCCTCTTTTTTAATGCTTTTAGGACTTGGATTTGGATCGAACTGTTCTGCAAAAAATGAAGAAAGCAGTCAAGGCAGAGCACGCCAGTGGACAAGGTCAGAATGCAACCACTTATAACAAGAAATAGGAGATGGCCAAGGCAGCCAAATCTGGCAGACCAGAATGATATTTCTGTACCTTTAAGAGTTTTTTTAGAAGGACCAATTCATCCAGTTCCTTTTCTCAGTTTTTAAAAATACAGGCATCCAGAAAGAGGTCGTACTAAGCTTCAGTAAGAACAACTGGCTGTATGACAGGCTCAAGAGCCAGTTTGGTGTAGTGGTTAAGGCATCAGGCTAGAAATTGGGAGACCATGAGTTCTAGTCCTGCCTTAGGCACAAAGCCAGGCTGGGCCAGTCACTCCCCCTCATTCCTAGGAAGTAGGTAATGGCAAACCACTTCTGAAAAACCTTGCCAAGAAAACCACAGGGACGTTGCCAGGAGTCAAGACTGATTCGAAGGCACCAAAAAAAAAAGGGGGGGGAAGAGGGCAGCTTACACTGAGCCATAAATTAGGCAATCACATTGTACAACAGCCAAGCATGTTATAAAAGCCCAGCCCATGTCATGCAAACAAAGAGAAATTGGTTAATTGTTAAGTTAACCATGGGTAAATGTATTGCACAAACTGCCATTTTCAGGTAAGATGCACAGGACTTCCACCTGACAAATGTGTTTGTTCAGGCATGACAAAGAAATTCCAGCAGCTCTCCCTTCTATTAAATCCTTTTCATTTAGTCTATGAAAAGCTGGTCTCCATGTGTACAGACATTCTGGAACTCTGTGTCAAGCTGTATATGCCAATCCTCCCCATGTACCCATGGAAATTGGCTCTTCACTGATGTTGTATACTTCTTTGTTACACATGAGCTAAGTGTTTTGGGTGCAGCAGAGTAAGTATATGCACTCTGCTTAAAAACACATTAGTGTATGCAAGAAAAAGGCTGGATTCACACACTACACTGTGCCACAGTTTGTTTTAGCCATGGATTGTTGAATAAGCCCTATAGCCTGATTTGCACAGTAATCATAAACCAGGATTTACAAATCAGAATGGCTGGGTTCATACAATACAGTAAGCCAAAATCAAACCTTACTTACACAGTCATAGGCATCCCATACAACCTGTGATAATATCACATGTCCACGACTGACACAAATGATATAATTTGCATTATTTGCATGATGATGCCGTGACACGTGTGATATCACTTGCCCTGTCTTGCTCCCCTGCAGAGAGATGCCCATGGTGTAAATCCAGCCAAACTGTCTACAGTATTCCTTGAAAGAAATTAGAGCAGACAAGCACTTTTGTAAACAAATTGATTCCCAAAACAAACAGCAGCATCATGGACACTAACATGGTGTCATCCGTTTCCCCTTTGTCATTATACCTCCTTTCCGTCTTTGGATTCCTCCCATTAGATAAATGTAGATAAATTTCCCATTCAGGATAAATTTGGCAGTCATTAGTTCCAGCTGAGGAAAGACTGAGGGATCATATTTTATTAGAAAGCAATCTTCCTGATAAAGGATTACCACTTGGGAATCTATAAATTCACGTTTGGCATGGAACTCCAGCTCTTATTTGCCCTTACCAGCATGGTCAGGAGAACCATTACTGGAGCTGAGCTGCAGTTCAAGAACTGGAAGTCCACATGTTCTCTCCTGCTATGCTGTTGTAACAAGCCTCAGATTGTACAGATGTCTTTACCTTCATGCTGTATTCTGAGTCCTTCCCAAAGTACCTTTCCATATGCTAAATTCCAGACTGTGATACTATACTATATGCATTCATGTGAGTTTAAGGCCCATTAAAATCAATGAAATGGGTTCCTGCCAACATTTTTGGATTTCCTTTCGTAATACAGCTTTTTGGTTTGCCTCAGAAGAAGATGTGAAAAAACATTCAAGTAACTTTTTATTTCTGCAGATCTCATGAGCCACTTAGATGCTCATATTGCTGCCCTGGAGAAGTTTTCAGGAAACTATCATAACAGCGGAGATGAAAAGTTGTCTGAAGCTTTTACCACCTTTGCTTCATTTTCACAAGAGCTGCTAGAAGCTATCAAGAGCCTGGTATTGTCCCATCCATCTGACCTCCCACTTTCTGGGGAAAGTACTCCTGTGCCCTATCACTGGGTTTGCTGGGTACTGTTGTCCAATAGCACCTAGAAGGCCATAGACTGGCCTTTCCTGTTCTATGTCATGACAGGATCAAACATCTCCCTGTGCAAAATCTGACCACAGGTGTCAAGAAATTCACATGGTTAAATAATGTCTTGGAAAATGTGCCTAACCCATTTATTAATCAGAGGGGGCAGGAGAGCATTTTGATGCCTTCCATATGTGGGTAGGCAATTTTTTGTGGGCCAATGCTCAGTGTTTGGGGAGCCTAAAGTATGTGGAACCTGAGAGCAGGAATGAGGTTTGGGGATGAATGTTTGAGAATTTTAATTGTAATGTGCACATTTTAAGGTTACACCACAGTTCCCATCAACTTCTTATCGTAAAGTGGGCTCCAGCTCAGTCCTCTTAACCACAGCATAAACATGACCCACTAACCATTTTTAAGACATGCCCTCAAGACTTTCTCTTCATCTTATTCCCAGCCCAGAGAGTAGGCTGCTTAAAGTCACCTTTAGCTGTTCTAGTTTTAAAGTAGTGTTCTCCCTTTTCTCATGACACAGTTTTTGCCATGGTTATAACCTGGCATACTACACCAACCATTTGGCTGCTGATGTAATCCTTGTTGAGGATCAGCCCACCTCCTACATCTCCTATTGGGGCTTTTAGCTTGTTTGCAGGAGAGACAGGATACTTGGCTTCTGCAGAGGCACCTGCCCTCAAATGCCTGGTCGATCCTTTCTGAAGTGCCTCTTACATCTTATGCAGGCTCTTTATAGGCACTGATCTGGCACTCTTTTGAACGAGTACGGATCTACCCTTAAAGAACAAGACCAGCTTACACTGCATGACATCCTTTTAGACCAGGAAAAAGAGTGGGGTTTGCCAGCTGTGGGTTGCTGGTTCTGTCCCTAATGAGGTTTTCTGCTGCTTCTGCTGAATAGGGGTTTCATGCAGCCATTGGTTTTAATACTAGGGGTGGCAGGCCCACACCATTTGGTGTGTTCCATGGGGTTCTTCTAGATGCCGCTTGCCAGGACCCCGCATGGCCAGCACCGCCATTCCCTTGCAGCACTAAGGGAGGATGGAGTTCAGTCATTACCAATTGCTCCTTCCCATTTCATACCATGCCCCTTCTCCACACCCGTGAGCAGTCAGCCAGGCTACTTTTGGATACAGAATGACTGCTCTTTCAGAAGCATGATATGACTTTCTTTTTGCAAAACAGCAAGTTTAGATCTGCTGCAGTTGAGATTTCAGAATGTTATACGTAACACTGCTCTAGGACTGGCATCACCTGCTTCTGTCCTTATCTGTGAATTCCTGCAGTACCTGCTGAATCTCTGATTGCTTCTAGGTGAGGTTTTTATATCACCTGCCCTGCCTCATACAGAGAATTATGTTATATTATACGTCCAGACATTGTAAGAGGGAAAACTGAATAGCTGCTTGACTCCTCTTGGTGTCTATAAACATCAGCTCTCTGGAAGCATGTTACTACAAAAGAGTTTTCAATATTCTCTCCTTTAATTAGGGAAGAGAACTTACTATGTGCTAGCTACATAATAAACTTTATTTTTCAGTTCCTGAGTCTCTATCACAACATTCATTTTTCTCTGGATTCACTGATCAAGGGAGATTTCAAAGGGGTGAGTTAATGCTGGAAATAGATTGTAGAATGTGAATTGAAAGCAAGTCATCTGTTTGTGAATTTTCAAAGTGTGATTTCAAGATCTCTAAAACAGTCACCCTGTAGTTTCAGTGATTGCTTTCCTATGTTGTAGCACCCAACTCACATTCTATATTAGGGACAGCTCTTCTCTTTCTATTTCACTCATGAATAGCAATAACACTTGCTCAAATTCCTCATCCTGAAGCTATTTTCCCTCAAAAACCCATTTTACACTAACTATTTTTTTTATAATTCTTTTGGGTGATTGTGGGCAGTACTCTTGTTTATTGAGGAATACAATCTGTTTCAAATTTGTAGTACTATCAGTTTCATTTGTGAGGAAGTGATAGGGAAAAATACATAATTTCTAAAGAAGCAGACAAAACCAACTAAAGGAGTTTTCCATGGATAATTTGAAACTTTCACAGGATTAAGTTCAGGGTTTTTTTAAGGCACAAGATTGGGTTGGGAAATTGATTAAAGAATGGACATTCTCAGAGCAACTAGTCAATTAATAAATTAAAATTGCTTTTAAACTTAAGTTTCTGTGCAGACCTGCATGATCACAAACAGCTAATGAATTTAACAAACAGGAGAGCATTTGGAGTCTATTACAAGGCAATAGGTTGTATGAAGAGTGACCTTTTCAACACATTATTTGTCCCACACTTGCAAGACTATGCATTAGTGTGCTATATGTGCTCTCATTTTAAAGAGAGCAGATAGTAGGTTGCACTTCTTGCAATATGCCTTCAGAAAAGCAATCCTATGTGGCATAAATAATGGGGATTATTAAAAGAAAGTGCAGCCCACTTTTGATATGAGCTTCCTTGCAATCCAGTTGCAGTAGGGGGCTCGTCACTGTAGGCAATAATTCAGTAACATGGGATAGAATTGATACATGTATGGGAACACCCTAAGATGCTGACAAACCAGACTGGAGATTAGATGTTGGAAGGATGGGGAGAAAGAAAAAGAAACAGCATATCCAATACTGCTGGATGTGAACGTAAGGGCTTTTCCTTATGCCCTAATTGCAGCACAAACGTACATTAATAACTGCTTACTACCTTCTGCCATGTCCTCATGAATTTGCCATTGTCTCATTGTGACATGGCTACATTTAAGGCATGGTACAATCCACAGACCATGTGGCTGAATGCTTCTCATCTCATATTTATAAGAGGTAGACTTATTATACAAATTATAACCACTACTATAGTGTATTAAGCCTACTATACTGTATACACATTTATCTACCCAATTGAGCTTAATACTGTGACAACAGTAATGTTTACAAAACTGAACAAGGTTACAAAATTCCCTTTTCCCCTGTGTTCTTAACTGCCCACCTTTCTTAGCAATACAGGTAGTAGTAGTACAATAGTGGCCTTACAAAATAGTCCAGACAAAAAGCACACCCAGATTAACTTTTACTTTATTGTAAAGTTACATTAACAGAATCTTGCAAGTCTGAAAGTACATTTCTCCGCCATCATCTTTACAGCCCAAGAAACTAGGGAGGGTCCCTTCTGAGACTTTTGCCACACCCACATTCCGTTTGCAGGCTAAGCTGCCTCTTATCTGACCATTCCCCTGGCTGTGGCACTTCCCCATCTCCCAAGATTACTCACACACACAGTTCTTTCTCTAGCCCTTTCCTTTAGGGATTGAAAATCCTATTCTTTTTAGCTTACACTTGGCCCTATATTTTTCTCCACCCCTCAGCCCCATACTTCCATAGGTCTTGCTGCAGATTGGAATTGCTTGATCATTGTTCTATTTTACTGAATTACATCTCAGTCCTTATCAGCTTGGTTTTTTGGGGTGGGGCTGGGTGGCTATAGCAGTCATCAGAAGGCTTGTGAGGCTGTTAGGCTCTGTTACTTCTCACTCCAGCTGTAGCAGCTTCAGAGTTTCATTGCTCACTCCACCACTGTTCATATTCAGTTTCACCTCCTTCAGCTCTGACTCAATTTCCTTTCCTTCTTTCTTTTACCCACACCCTGTCCCTTCAGCATTTCTCTTTTATCTCTCTACAGTACAGGTGTGGTCATCTAATCTCTTAAAGTCCCAGGGGACACAAAACCACAAGGAAGGGAAACTCACACTGGCAGCTTTGAAGTTTTCCTTCCACACTCATCACCAGCAGAGGCAGCGTAAAGCTGTCCTTAGCTGTTCCAGTTTTAAAGTAGTGTTTTACCTCTTCTCTCCTGGGCTGTAAATACAATCTGGCATGATTCATCAATGGGATGCTAATGCAGTCTTCAGCTTGGGATCTGCCCAACTCCTGTTTTCTATTTTAGGCTACTGTAGGAAAATCCTTCTCTTCTGGTCACTGGGAACTGTCTTTATGGTCATTTGGCTTAAGCTGCAGAAGACACCAAATATCTGGCTTCTGCAGAGGCATATGGAAATGTTGCTGCTTTCCGTAATGCTTAGGCTCCTTATAAACCCAGATTTCATACTCTGTTTCTTTTAGAACAGATCTTTAATGCTCTTTTGAGTGGTCTTTTAAACCAGGATCTAGAAATGGGTTCTTCCACCTGTGTATTGCTAGTTCGGTCACTATTGACAGCATTTGAAGTTTTCTGTTGCTTTTGCCAACAGTGGCAAAAACTTAGCTGGGAGGGAGCAGTTCCATTTTCTGTACTCTGTTCAAGCCTTGGCAGCAGTAGGTGCTGCTAGCCACGAGATCAGAACCGGACTCCTTGGTCATTCAGTGGCCTAACCCAGTACTGCCAATTCCTCGCAGCAGTGATTGAGGATGGTGCTCATGTATTATTGTTTCCTCCTGCTTTATTCTGTTTCTCTCTTCCACAGCTTTTATCTGCCAGCCAGGTTATTTTGAGCATGTGTTTAGTAATTTTTCAGAAGATCAATAGGCCAATGTTCGGAAATAGTCTGAGTGGTCGTAAGTGTGGAGCAAGCATTTTGCTGAGCAGGAGCATGGGATCCTGCTTCACACTATGCATCTCTCTGTACCTGCAAACAGCCTGTTAGTTGGTTAGTTGGGTAGCCTGACAGGTAGATAAACCTGCCGCTATTAGCATCTACTTTCACTTCTTGTTTTCCATCCAACAAATTGGAGGGGAAGCAAAGTTGGAGGAATCCACTAATCCCTTTCCTTAACTTCTGTAATAAGTGTATAAAGATGGCACTTATCACCAACTTCATTACTGTTGCTGGTTAGTGCAGAATCTGGAACAGATTGCTCTGGTGCTGATTGGTGATTGGGGCAGAACAATGCATTCCGGCTTACTTTTCTGCCAGTTCAACACTTTAATATAGCTGTCTGGAAAACCCCTACATGAGAATTAGGGGATGGAAAAGCTGATCATCTGAAAGAATTCATCCTCTATAATGCCACACATTAAAAACATTGTAAATACTACCGTGATTTCATTTCATCTGTTGGTAGGCTCTCAAATTCTTTGGAAATTTAATGGTTCTTTTTCTGTATATTGTTTTCAGTTCAGAAGTTAGAAGAAGGAACCATAGCTCAGGAGCTTTTGCAAGCACATAGCCTCAGATGTAATCCCTGATATTCGGAGTTGAAGGGATCAAGTAGTAGGTGTTGCTTCTGCCTGAGACCCTGGAGAGGTGCTGATTAGGTCTGACAAGTATAATCAGACAGCTTGAGGGTTAGTCAATTCAAGTCTCTATTTTAGAAATCGATCAGCAAAACAAAGCTTTGTTTAGTATTAATATTGTGCTGAAAGGGAGCATAATGGTGTAGTATGCTGTAAAATAATATATAAAGGAGTGATTATGATTTAAAGGCTAAAAAGTTAAACAGATTAATTGCAATATATAGTTATCTGCATAATTAAAGATAGTTCTAGCAGTTAATAAAAATAAAAATAGGAATCAAGTACATACAAGCATAATGATAGATAGTATCTAGATATAGATAATCAACTAAATAGACAGCTACACCTAAAATAGGTGACCAACAGAGCCAGATGGGAGATGTCTAAGAACTATCTGAGGAAAAATTGTGGTGTAAGTACAGCAGTATTTAGCAACATTCAGAAAAGTAGAATCAGATTGGTCTGATAATAACTAGAGGTAAAGGCAATCAGAGCAACTAGGGTGCTTGACTAAATCTGGGAATAACAGTTTTTGGCAAGCATCAGCACAGAATGAGTTGATAATAATAATATACTGTAATGTGATCAAGGTTTTCAATTGCTCCTTAGCCGCAGGGGCACATTCTCTGCTCAGAAGGGATGTTCCAAGATCCCCCTTCAGTGACTGCTATTGGGAGGGTGTTAAACTTGGCCAAAGTCCTTCTGAATTTGGGGACTGTTATCCAACTGAGGGTGAAGCTTGAGGTTATTATTTAACATCCTTTGAACTCCAGGCAAGTTCTTAGTTCTAATTATAATAGGAATTTGATCATTTTTCCAATGTGGGAAGTGGTGAGACATATCTGGGTCTTGTTGGGCATAAAATTATGTTTTTACTTTAGTTCTTACAAGAAATCAGTGCTTTGGAATAGTTCCCATTTAAAAGTGGCTGACATTACTCTGTTTTTGGAAAACATTGGCCAAAAGTGGAATTATTACTCTTAGTCAGCTAATAAATAATGCTACCCTTAAAACTTCTGAAATTTTACAAATGGAATATAAATTGCCTAAAATGCCTAAATGGCAATATATTCAGGCAATATACTGTATATTAAAAGATCACCAGATTGAAGTTCAAATTTGTCAATTCTCAGCCTTTGAATTGACTTTGTATCAAAGAAGAGGCAAGATTAGGCAACATGAGTTCATATTGTACAATTCACTATTTAAAAACAGAATGGTAACGAGTTTTATTAACATTAAATTAAGAGCTTGAATTTGTAGAATGATAATTCAATTTTCAAAATTTGAATAGTTTGGTATTTTCATTAATTTTTACCTACTTTTCATTTTTCTTCTTTTTTCCGCTTTATTGTATCTTTTTAGGGTTTTTGTTTTGTTTTTCTTGAGTTTTTGAAGTCAGTTTAGTTTAGGATTTTTATGCGTATAATTTATTTTTATTAAAGGTTTATACTTTACATAGGTATTTGTTACCAATTCATTAATATGTAATGTCCTTGAAGAAAACTTAGCTGTTATGTTTTTAAAAGTTCACTTTAAAATACATAAGACGGCCAGCTTGCTATGTTCCCCAGCTCCCTGTTTTAATTACTCTCTAAATTTAACTTGCCTGTTTAAAATACTCTGTATGAACTTGATAATGTTCTCTATGAAATAATTTTTCTCTGCAATTCAATAGATACACAACTGAACAGAAAATGTGTGCAACTATTTATCAGTGAGGATGATATAAATGGAGAGAGAGAGAAAGAAAATGAGTACAGAAGCATGTTAAAATGAAAACATTGAATAGGTCTAGATATACACTACCAAAAAACTGAAACACATACATTTCCAAAGGAGTTAACAGAACAACTTAGTGATGTAAAGTCATTTCAGGATAGGAAAACAGAACAAAAGATCAAATGCTGCATTAAGTGTTGCTTCATCTCTCAATAGGATTTTAAAAAGCCTTTTGAGAAAGCTTGGAAAGACTATGAAAGCAAACTGTAAGTTGTTTTGATGATATTATCTTCTTTATAAAACCAATGCTACTTTATTTTGAGTTGATTCTGTTAAAATACCAAACACTGTGTTTTCTCTACTTGAGTGCAAAGATAGAGAAAGAAAAGCGGGAGCTGGCGAAACAGTATGGAATGGTGAGGACAGAGGTTGCTGGAGGAGAGATTGCGGAGGAGATGGAAAAAGAACGAAGGATGTTCCAGTTACAGATGTGTGAGGTAAGGCAGGCAGATGGTAGGACTCTCTTCCCAGAGAGAATATCCTGAGCCTGTCTTTCTTTCAACTTAGACAGGATCCTGAGCATGATAGCTCTGAAGGGATTGAAATCTATTAGCTCTATCTTGTCTTTTAAAGAAGTTTATAAAATGTTGATTGTGCTCTTGGATGTTTTAAAGGTTGCAAATTGTTTTAAAGTTGTCCTTCCTGGGTTGAAAAGGCTCAGAAACAATTTTATTAAAAAAAAAAAAAAAAGTAAATGCTTCTTTCTGCCGAGTCAATTGTGCTATGTACACAATTACAGTTACACATGATAGCACGTAGTCTATTTTCTATATGATGGTGACATCCATGTAGAAAAACTATCTTCATAAATTGCAGATGTAAACTGTCTCATGTAAGAATAAGGCTGCACTTGGCTCCAGTTTAGAAGCAAATATGAAAAGCTTTCCCCGCAAAAGCCTTTCTCCAAATAGGAATTGGAAAGAACCGTGTCCCATATACTGTTATACCCAGCCTGGGAAAAAGTATTTTGTTGCACATCAAGTGCTGGCTTCTGGCCTCATGTGCGGCATTTCAAACAATGGGGGGAATTCTGGCTTGATCTTAGCACTCTTCCATTGGGAAAAGCGTCTTTTTAAAAAGGAAAAAAAAAGGCATCTCAATTCTGGCAAATTTCTTCCTGCTCAACTTCCTGGAAAGCTGCTCCAGAGAGACAGTGGCCCCTCTGAAAAGCAGAAGAGGTCATATACAGTTGCAATGGAAAGGCAAAGTGGCAAAAATCACCGCCAGTTCAGCTTCTTTTGTCTGCAGGAAGCCACTGGTACATTCCAGTTCCCTCTCCAGATTGAAGGAACCCCTTCAGTTCATATGGGAGAGTATCTGGATCCAACTCTTTCAATGTTTTTTTCCAGCCAATTATACATATCCTTCAAGATCGTTCTCCTAACAGTGGGATATTCATTTTTAAAGCATCACATTCTGTTTCTGATAATATACAATACTTCCACCAGAATTCACCATTTGGTTCTGCCCTTGTTAAATCCAGTTATAGTTATCCAGATCTTAGTGCTACCATATGACTATAATCACCACTATCTAGCAATTTTTAAAAATTGCTTGTTTGTTTATTTTTTTTATTGCTACTAGCTCTTGGGAATGTATGTATTTTAGTACTTGGGAAAGTAACATTTAGTCAAGGTTTAGTTTAGTCAGGGTAAACATCTATGTAAGCTCTGCCTTTCATAGAATTTGAAAGACAAACCATAAAAATAAAGTTAAATTGCCCCAGTACAAGTAGAATTGTTTTTAAATTTATGTAACAGACTGATTTAGCTTTTAAGAGAAGATTGTCATATACTAACTGCATGATGTAAAAAGAAAGAACTGCAAAATATAACTTAGCACTCCAGAACAGAGGAGGGCTAAGCAAACAAATGAGAATGTAGTTCAACAAGTCAGCTATGTAACCTTTCCCTCCAGTACCTAATTAAAGTGAATGAGATTAAAACCAAGAAAGGAGTTGACTTGCTGCAGAATAACATCAATCACTGCAACTCTCAGTTCAAGTAAGTGCCATCCATTTTCTACCTTTTCATTCCTCATAATTCTCTTGGCAACAAAGAAGTTTGAACTCTTTAAATACAAATTTCTTGTTGTATGAACTTTTGTAAATGTGAATCTATGGCATAAATATATTTTTCATATTTACTCTATATGAATTTTCTCCCTAGTGCACATTTTAATCTGTTAAGGGTAAGCAATCTTTTCCTCCATTGCAAAGCTTCATTTCCATTTCTTCTCTTACTATTACCTGAACCCTAAAACACAGAATTTAGCATGTTGCAAAACTGACAGGTTAGGCACTCCTCAAAGCTCATATTTTTATGTTGACTTTTGCTAGACCTGTTAATTTTTCTACCTTTTTATTTGGGTGGAGTGAGTGTTCTCTTACTTAATAGTATTGCTGTAAATCTTTTGGGATTAAAACAAATGAGAATCAGTATGGGAATACATATTTTAATTTTTAAAAATGACTGCCCTTTGTTTTTACCACTACATTAAATAGAGCAATTATTTCAAAATCTTTAAAATGTGCAAGAACTTAACAATTGCAAAGGGTGTCTAATCAAAGTCCAGGGTAACCAATTGCTCTGTTTGAGTCTCCACCAGCTTCAGAAGAGGGCTGAGGTAGTGGAATGCAGTGTTCCATTTCAAAGAGGATGTGGGCGATACTATCTTTGAATGCTTTCAACGTTAATAATGAAAAAAATTGTGGTGTCACTCATAGAAGAGTAGCAAATTTGCTTCTCCTGAAAAGAAATTGTGTGATGGGTATGTACAGTACATAGGTTGGTAGGTTTTTGCCTACTGTGCAAGAAATGTTAACAAAATGAAGCATTTGAAAGTGTGCTTCCCCATCTCCAGTTTCAAATGGTCCTCCTCATTCTACCATTTCATTCTGTATCATGTATAAGCTATTCCTCTACCTACAAGAGTGGGTAACAATTGAAGTAATCCAACAAAACACAGGTAAGGCAACAACTATACTTCCAGAGATTTTTCAGCCCCCATCTTGCAAACGTTAAAGAGGGAGATACCATTTCTAGCCATAAAGCCATCCAGGCCAGTGGCCATTCCTGGGTATTGAGGCTGAAAAGGCCTCTTCCAGATGAGGTCCTTGCAGTAGTTCAGAACCTGGATCTTGCCCTTCTCATGGTTGCATCTGGGAGCTGAATTGATTTCTTACTAGCTTTATTGTATATGTATGTGACATCACAACAAATTATGTAGTTTTACTTGAGCATTAGAGACCTTCTGGACAGTCAATTACCTACTCTTACTTTATTGTGCTTCCAATGACTCACCCACTGGTAGGAAGGCACCCTCATCTCATCCTACTTCCCAGCTTCTTTCCCTTCCTCAAGCATGTTGAGGTTAGCAGCTATGAGGACAATTGTGGGAAGACTTCACTGAAAATTGTAGTGTTGATGTGGAAGTGTCTTATGGTATGAAATAAAAATATTATTTTTTAATTTTGTTCCATGGTATTTTTCTGTCAGTTTTTTTCAGAAATGTTTAAAGGTAACAGAGAAGCACAAACAATTTATAGAGGAACTTACTCCTGAGCTTCAGAGTGTGAGTATTTAATATGAAATTGATAGGCCACATTTTCACATCATGCTAAAACACAGTGTGAAATACATAAACAGACACAAGTCCTATTAAGCCTTAAGCTTACACACACAGAAACAGAATACTTTCCAAAGAGGAGTTCAAAGTTTTCACTCTATTTTTAGTTAACCAGATTCTTCATTGTATTTAACATTAGCTAAGGTTTGTATCAAAAAGCAACATCCAGAAATCACATTCTGAAGCTAGTTTCTTTGAACATAATACAACTAATATTAATAGCAGTTTGTCTGGGTGGGGAATTCTGGCAGTTGAAATCCACACATCTTAAAGTTGCTGAGGTTGAAAAACACTGTTCTAGATGACACAAGAGCAAAAGCTTACATTTCCAAAGTCCTTCTACCCATGTAAATATTGTAGGAAAGAGCCTATCCACATGACCCAAGGTTCATTTGGGCTTTTCACACTCATACATGCTGTATTATAATAGATGCCCAAAACCTGAAGCCCTGGGCACACAGCTCTCCAAAGCAAAGACTTTGAAGTTTGTTACTAAATTGTAACCCCTTTTCTACATGCCTTGTGACTTCATCCACATGTGTAAAAGGGTTGCAGCTTGCAACATAATGTTTCAAAAAGTTGCAGAGGCTGCTGAGAAAGGGGGATTTGTTAACTGCTGATTGGAGAATAATCATATTGGTTATGTTTATTTTAAACATAAAATGAAATGAAATTTAACTTCTGCCCCAATGCATCCATTTCATGCAGCCTCTAGCATTCCACTCAAAGGCCCAGAGCAGACTTGGCGTTAGAAAAATATGCAGAGTTCTGCACTACAGTGTACCATGGTTTACCACGCAGGTACGCAAACTTTCAGCAACAGGTTAGGGGTTTCAAAAAGTCCTCCACGCTAAAATCACATTTGACCTGTTTCTTGAATACATCTTTAAGGAAGTGTGTATGTGTTCAAGTATCAATTGGGTGTACATGTTTGCAGGGCACATCCACAACAGCTATTTCCATGTAATTCAGTCCAGCAGGAAATGTGAAAAAGGTTCCATGGAAAGACATGTAACTTCCTTTTTCTGCTGGACACGTTTTATTTTATACACTGTGCTGTATAGTCTGAGCATCCCACTTTAATCTCAAATTAATCCCGGTCAAGTATATGGAACAGTGAAGAAGGATTATACAGAGATAGACATAATTTCAAATTGTGAGCATCTGAACACATACCAGTCAGACTTGGAACAAACAGCATTAGTGTTAAATAGTAATGCATTGCTTTTAACTGATGTGGAAATTGCTTTTAATAATGTGGGCTTGGGACTTCCTGGAGACTTGGGCAACTTAGACATATAGAAAGAAATGCCTGCTGAAGGTATTTTGCAGCAACCACAAAAACAACAGTTTTGTTTAATGGAATGTTTGTGTGATGGTTTTCAGATGAAGTCAAAGCAGGAGGAGGAGAAAAAACAGTTATGTTTCCTTCGGGATCAGCTCAAAGCAGCATTGCAGTTGGAGCCCAAAGAGGTAAAATGAGGGAGGGTACACCTTATTTTGCTATGGAGAAAGGCCAGCAGGTGCCTCATGAAATATTCTTTATAAATCCTTTGTTAAGGACTGAAAGGAAGAATTTACTGGGGAGAGGCAACTTACCATGTATCTGAGTGCAGTTTCTGCCAGTGCCAGGCAGAAAAATCATCTGCCTTTGTTTCTGTCACTTCTCCTTCAATCTGATGAAAGAGAATTTGCATTCAAAATTCCTTTAAAGGAGAAGAGAGTTTCAGGCAATTCTCACAGGTGGAGTGTTCCTGTACTTATTTAATTACAAGGGAGCTGTATACATGTAGATGGGTGAATGTGGTCATGTCTCCTGCATTACTGTACAGTTTTCTCTCCAATGTTCCGTATCCTCCCTTCAATTAAATCTCAAGGGAAGACAGCATGAGGGAGCTACTCCCACAAGCCTGTTTTAGTAGTAGTAGTAGTAGCACTGTCCCTTCTAAGGGAGAGTCCTGGTCATGAGAAATTGTTAGAAAATTTCTCTTTCCGTGGGGAAATTCAGAGAAACCACCCATCCAATTTGTCTACCCCAAAATTTAGTGCAGAATTTCCATTTGCGCCCAACTGTACTTCCTGCTTTAGATGTGAAATAGAATGCCCATTACGTTGCTTTAAGGGGAAAGCTCATAATAAGAAAAGGTGTCAAGACAACCTATCACAGGGAGAAAAATTATTTGACCAAGGATAGTAACTACCCAGCTCTCTGTCTCTGTTTCATCCACTAACTTTGGAGGAGTTCTGATCAAAAGAGAAGATGGGGCCAACAAAATCAGACCTTTATACTAGATACATGTTTCTCAACCTTAGTAAC